ATATACAAAACCAGTGTGAACCACTGATCAGTTAAAAGGTTTTCTGAGCTGAACTACTTTCCTTGGTCCCCTTAATAGTAACTCATGTTTTGTAGAAGTGACAGGAAGATGGCGGTCCTTCTCAAGGTCAGATCGGGTTTATTTTTAGGTCAGTACTCACCAAGGTGAGGATGCTAAAAAAGAAGTCATTTGGAGACACAGTGCTGAAAGGGGGAGGAACAAAATATTTCAAAACCCAACAGCTACTGAAACATGAACCTAAACTACACATAAGAAGAAACTGGAACCCTTTCGGTTGGATCTGTTAATCATGTGATCTTTAATTGCAGCATGACAAATCTCTTAACCAATGACATGCTCATTTCCGTTTGGCTCCAGTAGATTCGTTTTTCATGTGTTACATGATTTCAACTAATCAAACCCTACATGGAACCAGTGTTGTTAAAGGGGTGGTTCACTGGTTTTTTTCTAGGCTTGATTGTGTTTATGGGGTGCAGTCTAACATGTGTTAATGCTTCGTTTAAAAAAAAAAAAAACATTATTTTTCAACACAATTTACCTTTATTCCACACAGCTCTGTTCCTTCTCTGAGAAATGGGCTGATCTTTTCCTGTTTTTATGAAGCCCCGCTCTCAGAAATAGGCGATGTGCTCTGATTGGTTAGCTAGCCCAGTGTGTTGTGATTGGCTAGAACGCCTCTAGTGCGCGTCTAATCGTCCCGCCCCTCACCTCAGCGGCATGTGCTCCGGTTGTATTGTAAACAACGACATCGTTAATATCGCTTATCAGTTTGAGCCCGATTGAGAAGCAGAGGATATTATTCAAGAGGATCGTGCAGAACCTGTCCAAGCACTGCTTTTAATGGTAGGCCTATGTTTTTTGTTTGTTGTTATCTCATACTTGTAGATATGCTGTTATTTGTAAATGCTACTGCTTATGTTAGCTTTTAATATACGGTTTTATCCTGATTAAAGCTTTAATACAGTACAGCAACGGCACCCGCGTCCATGTTTAACGCTTCTCATAGCTATGTGAAAATAAAGTGTATAAATGGAACAGAGCTGAGCTGATGATCTGAATGAGAGAGAGATGCCGAGCAGGTGACGTGAGGAACAGTATTAAGAACCGCTGCTTTAGAACATTGATTTTGAAACTTGTGAATCCATTAGAATGGTTAGAAGACAGAATCGCAATTCATATATGAATAGATTTTTATGTGCACTTAGTTTTCTCTTCCTCTTCTCTAAAGCAGCGCAGCATGGCCTCGCCCCCTTTGCTACCTTTTCCCGAGGGCGGGGTTTATCTGGGTTTGTTACGTCATGAACCTGGGAAGTAACTCGTTGTAGTCCCTACCAGCCGTTTTTTGTAGGCATTAAACCGCCGATATCTCCGTTTGCATTGAACATTGTTTATGCTCAAACAGCAACATTACACACTAACTAACGTTAAAGAAGTGAAATCGCAATCAACCACCCCTTTAACTGAAACTTAAAAAAAAACAAAAAATTTTTTTTTTTCATTAAAATAAAGCTGAAATAAAATATAAATATTACACAAAAAAACTTAAATATTGCCTTAATTGGCAACTAATTGCTGAATTGAATTAATCTGAATTAAGTTCTAAAATTACTAAAACTGAAATAAAAATAAAGTTAATATTAAAATATACAGTATATACAAATGAATAAATACAGAAAGAAATAAAAATGCCAAATCAAGTAAAAAAATCACTAAAACCTAAATTAAAATGAAGACTGAAAATGCAAAACTAGAAGCTCATTTAAAAGATTAATAAATACTATATAATAATAATAATAATAATAATAATAATAATAATATTAATATTAATATATAAACAACACTTAAATAACACTGGATAAAAGGAATTTAATAATATGCACCAATACCAATGGCTAGTTCTTAAAAAAACTCAACAGACACTCATTCACATGAGTGAAATTCTTTCTCAATGCCCTCAAAAAATATAGGCAATCCAAGTGAATGAAAATTCAATGGCTCCAACAATAGCTCTGTATTGTTTCCAGGTGTAACACTATGACCCCACCCTACATCTTGGTGTCGATGTATGCTTGTTGTGTTCCTAAAACCTCCACAGTGTTGCTATGCCAACCAAAGCTCCTCTCAACCCCAGACATGGGGACAGGTCTGGTCACATGACCCTACTGTCATTGGGGAAGATGGAGCAGATGTGGATGGGGCCCTCCGTCATTGGATGATTAGTCAAGCACAGGCACACAAGATAGAAGTAACAACACGGACTGATATCAAAGGTCAACACTATCAGCTCTGATCACTGAACACATTTATCTTTACATTGTTGATAATAAAGATACTTCAATGGCCCGTAAGTGAGAGTCTCAGAGGTGACTGGCAAGATAGAGATACAGAAGGAAATCACTTTTCAACAACGTGAAATCCCACAGCTGCACACAGGGAAGAGCAACAGCAAGGAGAGAGAGATTTCTAAAAGGTCAGATGACACACAGACTGTGATATCTCTTTCCTCTTTCTTTTTACCTTCCTGTCTTCATTTCCCTCAACACACAGGCCTTCGGTGATACAGAGAAAGAGAGAGAGGGTCACTATTAGAAGTGGAAATGGTAGATTTGTTACCAAGACAAATATTGGCGATCTTCCTGTTCAAATGTCATCCCTGAATAGAGGGGGTTGCAAAAGTAATCTGATGCATGACGAACGTGACAACTGCATGTTCATGTACGTGTCTGCTGGCTTGTATTTGCTTTACTGACAATATGTGGTGAAATAAACTAGAGGTTTTTAAGGTGTTGGATATCGATGCCGACGCGGTAATCACATTAAAGCATATGACAAAACAATGCAGGCCAATACACCAGCGGTGCTGTAGCCTAGTGGTTAAAGGAGCAAGTCATGAACTATCACCACTGTGCCACTGAGCAGGATACTTTAACCTGAGGTTACTCCAGGGGGACTGTCCCAGTAAAGTGCACTGATAAAAGCATCTGATAAATGGCTAAGCACTACATAACAATGCAGGGCAACACCCCAGTATAACTGTTTGCCCTCCAAATCAATAGTTGGTCATCAGGCTTGGTAACCAAAAGGCTGTATGTCCAAGCCCCCAAAAAAGTGATCTATGAACTATCACCATTGTGCTCTTGTGCAAGACTCTTAACCTCACGTTACACCACAGTGACCGAACCTGTAATAAATGTACTGATAAAAGTATCTGATAAATGAGATAGTTCTGGACAATGCAGGTCAATACAATAGCAGCCCTGTTTCCCTAGAAAAATCTAATATTATATACCAAATGGTTGTTTGTTCAAACCCACCAACGTATAATCTATTCTGCTATTGAGAATGTATCCGCCGTTTACTTATTGGGAACTGTCCTGGCTAATAGTTACTTCATATAAAACACAAATTAATGTATGAATGTAATCTGCTACTGAGAAAATGTCCTGTTTGATGCCTGGTTTTGCTGAATAAAAGAGTCTAATAAATGACAGAGCATAACGTGCAAGACAAATACCCCAGTAGCCCTTACTACCCTGTACATGTCCTCTAGTTAAAAAAAAGTTTAATATTTTAAATAAAAAATAGGTTGCTTGGTTAACCAATAGGTTGTAGGTTCTAGCCCAACAAGGTTTGATGCATTGTGCAACTGAGCAGAATACATATCCTCAGGTTACTCCCATGGGACATCCCCTGTTATAAATGCATGTTATAAAAGCAAGTCTGTAATCAAATTTGGGGCCAAATCCAACAATATATGGATCAAACCTATATAGTTGATCTAAATACTGGGGGAATGTGTCCCCCTTCAATGTCTCCTGCCCTAACAAAAAACATTTGATAAATGACGGAGCGGAACTTATCGCCCAGTGAGAAGCGATTGTCGATTATATTTCAGCACAATATATAGCGCTAGATGCAATCGAGGACAGCGCTCACGGAGCGGCCGCAGCCTTTCAGCACCGCGGACAGCGCTCATCGAGCGGCCGCTGTAATTCAGCACCATGGACAGCGCCGCCACTGCTGCTGGTTTGCCCGCTCTACAGCAGTGAGGAGGTAAAGCGGGGTTTCCCTCAGAGCTGGATGGAGCTCCTCTCTCTCTCTCCATCTTTGCACATTACCACCTTCACCAGCGGATTTCCATGAGAGGGTTATCACCAATCACATCACATGAAAATCCGTGGCCTTCGGGTTTTTTTCCCTCTGACTAAAGCTGTATTATCCTGCCAATTTAGAAGATTTCAAACACAAAATACCATCGTCCAGTAATTCGGGTCTGCATTTGATTTTATTCCATTTTTGACAGAGGAAGGAAATTAAATCGCATGTAATACAGACTTTGCTCGAACATTTCATTCGTTATAAACCAGCATCACTGAAAAAACATGAAGCACGAATGGAAATGACCGGCGAAGGCATGTTTGCATTAACAAGACTGTCATGCAGAGAATAAACCAGCATTCTGCCCACGATTCACAGCCATCCTCACTAATATCAGCCCACTGCATCCACTGTCTCTGACAGTAAATCACATCTCTATCACTGATGTCTAAATGGCCGGGTACTTCACAAATAATACAACATTCACTGAATTAAATGTGCTCATGGAATGCTGTAGCGTGAACTTTGAGCTATTTTTAAAGGTGCAACACACGAAAATTAATAATTCCGCAGATAAAGCTATATCCTCCTGTGAAATTTCATTATAATATAACAGATTCACATAAACTAGAAGCTGGGCTGTTTTTTCGTGCAGGAGGTTTGGCAGGTAAATTAATCACTGGCAAAGAGGGAAAAGGCTTTAAATCACCGCTGACCAGCAGAGAAACACACACAAACGCACACACACACACACACACACACACACACACACACACACACACACTTGGGGAGGAGAGGCACCGCTGGCAAACAGCTAGAAATACGCAGCCACTTCCCCCTAAAATAAAACCCAGGATGACTTGAAGGATTCTGGCCTTTACCTGTCAAGACGCCGACCCGGATTTGGTGGTCGTGGTTTGTTAAAATCATCCCGTCTGTCGCCATATTCAGCACCGCTGTCGCCGCACTGAGAACTCCAGGCAGAGCCAAGAGCCGAGCGCATCGAACTCTGGAGGGGAATGAGGGAAGCGCGCAGGCGAGAGCAGCAGAGCGAAGATTCAGCGCTCATAATATCTCACTGGGAAATCAGCGAACAAACAAAGGTCTTTAGACTGTAGGTTTACATAATTACAGAGTTTTAGTTATGTAAAATAAAATGAATTTACATAATTATAAACACTACCGCTCAAAAGTTTGGGGTTAGTTAGAATTTCTGTGAAAAAAATTCTATTCAGCAAGAATGTATTAAATTGATCGAAAGTGACTGTATTTTTGTTACAAAATATTTATATTTTAAATAAATGCTGTTCCTTTGAACTTTCTCTTCATCAATGAATCCTGAAAAATATCATGGTTTCCGCAAAAATGTGAAGCAGCACAACTGTTTTGAACAGTGATATAAATCAGAAAAGTTTCTTGAGCAGTAAATCAGCATATTAGAATGATTTCTGAAGTATCATGTGACCCTGAAGCTTTGCACCAGAGGATTGCATATTTAAAATATATTCAAATAGAAAACATTGTTTTAAATTGTAATAATATTTCACAATATTATTGTTTTTTATTTATTGTTGTTTTTTATCAAATTAATGCAGCCTTGGTGAGCATAAATTACTTTTTTTTTGTATTACTTTTTTGTAAATACTTTTGTAAATATAATATAATAATATAATCAATATTATATTATATTACATTATTACTTCCACAAAACCAAACCCAACTTGAATTCCTCTTATTCCAGACTTAACCCATAATATAATGATCATATAACTCATAATATAATAAATATTAGTATCAGATTCACAGTGTATCTTAGTTTCTTCTCTCTTTATAAAACACTTGAGCTTGTTTGTGTTGTTTGTCTATTATTGACTCTTGGAACCCGATCACCCAGATATTCGACAAAAAAACCCCAAGTAAATCTTTGATCCTGATGAGTCTTTATACTTTTGAAATGACCGAGACCAAAATACTGACTCTGCAATACAATAACTGTCTTACAGCTCTAATCTTAACACATTTTTAACCAATTTCCCCACCCACAGACATCAGTAAAGGTTCTAATCAATTCTATTCACCATACAGTATCTCAAAACATTTGGCATCTCAGAGAACCCCATGATGTCCTCTTTAAAACAGACAAGGACTTAATACAGTTTTAATGATCTGAGCGATATTAACAAGACACTCATGTCCATTATGTTCCATTACAAAATATATGAATCACTGGCTGTCATGAGTATGTGGATGGCATCAGTGGATCATAATGCAGGGGCTGCACACACACACACACACACACACATGTTGTGTTTCCATGGTTTATGGGGACATTCCATAGGCGTAATGGTTTTTATACTGTACAAACTGTATGTGCTATTGCCCTACACCAACCCTACCCCTAAACTTACCCCTCACAGGAAACTTTGTGCATTTTTACTTTCTCAAAAAAACTCATTCTGTATGATTTATAAGCTTGTTTCCTCATGGGGACCTCAAAAACGGTATGGGGACCAAATGTCCCCACAAGGGCAAAATGTACTAGTATTACTATCCTTGTGGGGACATTTGGTCCCCATAACGTGATAAATACCAGGTACACACACACACACACACACTCACCTGTAGTCTGGCTGAATGCCACGCTAGTAATGCATGTGTGGGCTTTTCTACATTAACTCACGAAGAGCTCCATCGATTCCTTTCCTGAACTCACAGAACATCGCAGAACAATGACATATCAATCACCGCTCGGGTCACAACCTTTCTTATGTCTGGCTTTTTTTTTTAAAAATTTGCTTTGAAACACAGGAAATCTCCGATTTTCAACCTTCCTTCTGCAGATGATAGCAGGCCTGACCTGTGCAAATACAATCACAGCCTGAAGCAAAAGCCACGTTTCTATTTATAGCGCCACATCACGCTTCTGCGGTGTGTAATTCTTCTTGTTTATTCTTATGGAACAAAAGACAGCAAATATCTTCCTCCTATGTCAAGATTCATTATTCATGAGCACATTTAAGTGTTGGGAAAGCATAAAGACAAAGATACGTATCAATCCAACACTTTACTGAGAATCTGTGAGGGAAATGGTGAGAAAACCGTAATTGCGTTGCTACTTTCTAAGCTACTGAATTGACATTTCTAAGCTATTCTAAATGGTTGCGGTCCATCCTTCAGTGTAAGTCTGTGAGATTTTTTTTCACAGTTGTTTATAGGTAGCATGTATGTGGAGCGTTCAAAGTGAGCAGACGAGCACCAGCCTCATTATTTCAGTTCTGCATCTCTGAACCTTCTCTTGCATAACACTTCTGTCTGATCATAAAGCAAATCAAGTACATCAGGCATACAGACTGGAGGCTGCAATTTTATGGAGAACTTGCACAAATGCAAAGAATTTACAGAAACTCCTTACTGACTGACTAAGCATATACTTTGTAAATATGTTTATCAATGTTGAAAACTGTTGTGCTGCTTCGTATTTTTGTGGGAACCATGATACAGTTTGTTTTTCAGGATTCTTCAATGAATAGAAAGTTCAAAATAACAGAATTCATTTGAAATCTTACTGATTCACATGCTTGCACTTAATAGTGTATCCCAGTTTACACAATTGTAATATGCAGCACAACTACTGGATAAATAAGTAAAGTAAGTAAGCAAGTAAGCATAAGCAGCAAATCGGCATATTAGAATGATTTCTGAAGGATCATGTGACACTGAAGACTGGAGTAATGATGCTGAAAATTCAGCTTTGATCACAGCAATCAGTTACATTTTAAGATGTATTAAATAGAAAACAATTATTTTTAATTGTAATAATATGTAATTATTACCCCGATAACATGATATTCAGCCCCTGGAATGCGAATTTTACAGGAGGAACCCCGCCGGAAAAAGTGTATTTTACACCTTGAAACGCAATTGGGCTAGTTTTGAGTAGCAATTGGGCTGGTTTTGTTGTGAAACCCTGGCAACCCTGATTGGCACATTATGTTGAGTTTCTGCATTGTTAAGTATTACCAGCAGAGGGCTCTAATAGGTAGATTTAATACACTGAGCTGAATTGGTTATGACAGATCCAATAATTTGATCCAAAAAGATGGACTATTCTTCTGTGTTTCTACCTGATTGTGATTTGATGGACATAAATAGTTACGCACATGCTCTGTTTATATTAGTCCCTAGCCTTAAACTCAATCTAGCACAGGCCTAATTACTTTTGAACATAATTTATTCAATGAAAGTTGTAGAAAATCACTCAAAAGCATGTTTTTGACTAAATGCAGGCCTAAGCATGACAAAATATACAATAGGCTAATACTTAAAATCACTAATTGAAACCGAAAACCGTACAGTTTCGCGGTATTTAAAAATCAATTTATCAATCAATTTTGCCTTAACATAGACATTGCATGCTTCAAATGGAACGTAGAAGGTAATGTTCAAAGGATGATATATCTAATGATAAGTAAATATTTACAATATGAAATATAAGTTATGCAAAGGAGACTGGTGATGAGACTTTGATGGACATCAACAAAGCGTTAAACACGATCCAGCATACTGAGTTGAGAAAGATCCATTTCGCTCTCATTTTCCACCAGCACAGAAAATGGCCTGGAGGAAGACTTGAAGGTGCATCATTAATAAAAAAAACACTGGCAAAAGACTTGGGATACAGATAATAAAGGTAGAGAATAATAAAAAATCAGTTAAAGTAGAAACAGAAGAGATCATCTGTACAAGACTAAACAATAGCCTACATCATTTATCATAAGTCAAATACAGATAAATACCATATGTAAATGTAAACAAAAAGCATGATTGTGCTTTATAAATAAAGTTTGACTTGACTTAAATTGCAGGAAATTTAGGGAAGAAAAATAACTTAAGAATGTATTATCACAACTGGAAGGAAATGGGATATTAAAGGTCTACTACAAAAAATACATAATCGAATTAGTTAAATGTTTACATGAAACTGGTCATATTAGAATAATGCAAGAGTATATAGATGGTCTGTAACTAGCCAAGAAACAAAAAGGCAAATAAATAATAATAATACATACTGGTAAAAAAATGCATAGCCTGAATGCACTGTAAGTCGCTTTGGATAAAAGCGTCTGCTAAATGCATAAATTAAAATAAATAAAGAACAGATGAGAAGAGACAAGCTCTGATTTGCTGGTTTTGCAAAGGTTAGCATGTAATCTGACCTCCATATCTCCATCCTAGAGTTCATCTAAACAACACTAGATCACATAACCTAAAAATGAACACATAAAAGGTTACACAATGATGTCAGGAATCAAAAAGACGAGAAGAGCACATTAGCCATCAGTTCATTACACAAGCGGTCCAACATTGATGCTTCAATCATGAGTCACGTACAGCTCACCGAATGATCTCCTACAAACCGCCCGCGGACGTTTAGTGTGCTTGAATTATGTTTGCTCTAATGCATGTACTACTTTGAGAAATGCATCTTAAAATCACTGCAAAATCTTTTTCTTTTCTTTTCTGATGTTGATTGCTATGTTTTGAATTCTTGTTGAATCCTGCCTTGTCAAACCTCTCTGAACCTTGTAGCTTTTTGAGGCTGAAAACTAGAGTATGAAACTAGAGAAACCAACTTCAGCTCATTCTACTCATTCCATTTTGATTTCATGGTGACTTTAACCCTGTAAAGCCTGACATATGAAATAATAGTCAGAGAATTCAGTTTATTGAACCTTTGGACAAAATAATAATAAAATTATATGCTTTATGTTTTACATATGATACTTCAGGTTTCTTTCAGACTGGCTCATATAGTCTGATATAGCAAAAATATTAAGGACAAAACAGTTACATTTTATTCAGAGGCTCAAACTGAGCAAATATATGCAACTTGGTGCAGATGCTGATATTTATATGGACAAAAAGTGATGACATTTTCATAGTTGTAATGTAAATCAGTGAGATCTTTATAACGTATAGTAGATACTTACAGAAAATTAT